TACAAATTTATAAATAAACCCAATCCTAGACATGTATTTATAAAAAAACCCAAGCACTATTTAAACATAGAAATACACCCAAAATCAATCCCAAAGTCAACTTTTTGGGTGTGTTTATAAATAGGTTTTGAGTGTGTGTAATGATGGGTTTTGGGTGTGTTTATATGTTTAAATAGTGCTTGTGTTTTTTTATAATTTCAACTCCCATTTTGGGTGTTTTAGTGAAACTCCCAAAAAAATATAACTAGTGTCTGTGAACCTTATTCCAAAGGTGAGTACGCTATTGTTTCACCTTAGCAGACACGTGTTGAGCTCCCGTACTAGTAGCATACAAAATCAGTACCACTTGTTAAAATTCTCGCCTGGATGACTAAATACTATTCGCTGCTTGTCCCAGCCTCTATTTTAGTTTTCATTTTCGAAGCTCTGTTGGCTACGCAGAAAGTGCAGTACTGCGCGAGAGAGAAACAGACGGAAAATTAGGGTTTTTTGACAATGGCTTTTGCTAATCGAATCCGATCGAGCCTTCCTCTCGTAACCAAGATTCTCAAATCAGATTCGCTCTCCGCCGCCTACGGGTCCAGTGTCCAGCGGTCTGTACTTTGCCCTACTTTCACCAATTCTGAGGTACAGAGATTCTCAAATCACAGAAATGCAAAGAACAGATTTTTACGTGTCTGATCTAGTTTGCTTACTTTCTTCATTAGAAATTTTAATAATTTTTTTATAAAAAAATTTTCATTTCTGTTTTTGTTTCTAGATGGCGAAAAATGTGCGTTAACTGAGCCAAACTGATAGATTAGAATCGGTGGAAATTTGGAAGGAAGAAGATTTATGATTCACATTATATGAATTTGCTTTTCCTATTCCTCAGTGTCTTTCTTTGTGTGTTTTAATATAAGTTTTTAAAATAAAATTTAGGAGGTCTTTATGTCAACTACAGTTGAATTTTCGGAATGCGGATTCATTGTTTCACATTTGGTACTTGCAGTTGTCAAAGAATTTTTCTACCGCACCTGGGAAGAAGGAAGTGAAGGTTAAGGTAATGGAATTCTTTGGCTTAACATTTTCTGGGATTGTATGCCTTACAATTTTCATTTTGAAAGAAAATTAAATCCTTATCAAGTGCACGAGTGATGTTTATTATTGAGCAGGGGTAGAAGATGTTATACATTTCTTGGATGTTATATAATTTGTTATGTATACTTTTTAATACGAATTAGTGTGTCATTTGTTCGGTTTTAACGGTGTTTGGAAAAAGGAAAACAAATATCTAAATTTATGTTTCGAGGTACAGTAAGATTCAATGGACTTATAATTAGATTTTGTGAAGTGTTAGTAATATAAAACAACTGATGTATGTGCTTACTGTGTCGGAATTCAATCATATTATTTAGATTATATTGATTTGTCCTGCCATGAATGCCAGGTGCCTCTAGTGTTGTTTGGGGGTTCTGGGAACTATGCCTCTGCTTTGTACATTGCTGCAGTAAAAGCTAATGCCTTGGAGAAGGTTGAGTCTGAGATTCTTGACATTGTTGAGTCTACGAAGAGAAGTCCTACGTTTTCTCAGTTCACAAAGGATTTGTCAGTGCCAGCAGATACTAGAGTGAAGGCAATCAATGAAATTTCTGCTCAAGCTAAATTTTCAGATGTTACAAAGAACTTTTTGGGTATGATTAGTGACTCTTTCTAGTTTTAGATTTATTCTTATGTTCTTTGCATTATTTTTTTCCTGTATTTCTTTGTACTTTCAAGACTTAAGAGCATCAAATCAAGCAAAGGAAAGTCAGATGTGCTCCCTCCCAATAGAAAGTTAAACCAAAAAAATCATAATCCCAAATTAATTTCGTCTTTGGCAGCTCCAAACCCAAATCCTTGTCAGCTCTAAGCCTCAAAAACTCTAATCGCCAAGCATTTTACTGTCTTTGTTCATTTGTCTGCAATTTTTTTCCTATCTGAAAAATTTCAGTGAAGGTTTACTAATAAACCACGAGTAAGAAGAATTTGGTTGGATGCATGAGAAAGAAGCTGAAGGAGAAAAATACAGATTTGCAGTCAACAATGCAGTGGGTATTTCTAAGTATAAACAGACATAATTGGGTCCTAAAGGGCTTACGCCTCACCTTGCGGGGATTAAAACCTCTTGTGTTACACCTTCATCTTTCAAACATTCATTATTATTTGTTTTGTTATTATTATAAAAGTAGTTACATATTTAACATGTTTGTATGTAATTGAACTTGGGTAAATATAGTCTTCTGTATTATATTTGCCCTGTAAATTTGATAGCTATTTTAGCAAAATTGTGTCCTGGGTATGTGCAATGTACTGTTCACACCAAGGCTTTTTGTCTGCATTATATATGAACACTAATTTGAGAGCTATTATCAAGATTTTGACCTGGCTATGTGCTGTTAATATAATGGCTTTAATAACTGTCTTCGCTGAGGTGTTCTATCATGTTTGCAAGTATGTTCATTAAATTAGGTATTCTTTTCCTTATTGATCTTTCACTCAACTTTGATCTTGCTTTTAATTCTAATTGTTCTCATGGTTGCTTAATTAAAACTCTCTCTCTCTCTCTCTCTCTACATGTATATGTATATGTTATATGTGTACATACACACATACTAACCCATATACAATTTTTTTTGCAGTTATCTTGTCTCAGAATGGGAGGCTAAAGAACCTTGAAACCATAGCAAAGAGATTTGTGGAGTTGACCATGGCACATAAGGGAGAAGTGAAAGCTATTGTTACATCTGTCATTGTAAGTTGTAGTGCTTTGATGGTAAATTTATTTTTCGTAACAAGTTATATTGCTCGAGTTGGGCTGTAATTTCTAATGTGACTGGTCAATGGTCATTAATTTTAATATTGGTTGTAAATGATCAACATCTATATTATATACTGACATTTAGTTTGATATTTAAAAGAAGAAAGTATCACTGGAATAGTTTTGATTTGATGCAACTTTTTTGGGTAAAAGTACAATGAATGTAGAAGGTTTGTACTCACGAGAATAAAAAGATTGCTTGCAACTATGCTTAGTTTTTGTATTTGAAATGTTGGACTTGGCATAGTGGTTGCAATGCAAGAAGTACTCATACTTCATAGTATCTGTTTTACATAAACTTGTCGTGATGGTATTATGATTTGCCATGCTTTTTCTCTACAGAAACGGAAATTGTTTCTGATTTTTATTCCAAAGGACATAACTGACATTAGTCTTTTTAGTACTTTTAAGCTGTTCTCTTATTACACAGTACTTTATGTGTTTTCTTTGAAATGATTTTTGATTGTTGAAACGTGTAGCAGCATTTGGTATGAAACACTTGAACGAAATTAGCATGGTCATTAGTGTCCCTAATGACTTTGGGCACTAGTCTATGGTTATTTTGTTCTAGTTTTTTCAAGTATAATGTGGGCTGCCTGTTTTGAAGCGATATTTTTAAACAAAATGATTAATAACCAGTTTGCTAAATAGGGTGCTCAACTCACCTTTATGCTGGCTTGTTCCTTGGACCTTTTGGGGCTCCATAGTTACAGGTTTACTTGACTTTCTTTTGTTTTGGTTTTGTTTAGCTTTTCTTTGACTTTGAGGGGTTAAGTTTATGTTCGCTCCCAGGCTAGGCGTCTCCTTTTTTCATATAAAAAAATTTCCTTGTTCCGTGGAGGTTCCATTTCAGAAGCTTATGCTGTTTTTGCTTGAATTACTTTTGTGCTGATTTTGTGCTTATTTGGGAAACAAATAGTCGTAAATCTCATGGAAAAACTTACTTTGTCATTAATTAGACTTCTTATTATTGGGGTGTTGTTATGAGACGTTTGAGTTTATGTTTTTTTTATATTTATTTATTATTTTTAAACTGTGTTTTGAAGTATCTGAGGAATTGATGTTGTATCTAATGCTGTCTTATTGTTGGGGTATCATGAGATGTTGTATGGGTTTGATTTGTGTTCTGTTTTTGTACTGCGTTTTTAAGTATCATTTGTGATGACATTGATTATGCCCTGGAACAATTCAGTTGGAAAGATATCTTGATACAAGATGGTGGAATTTTCATGGAAGACTTCATATAAGTTGTTCTTTTCGGTAAAATTTTCATGGAAAGGAAATTGAGTTGACCAACCAGTACCAAACTATGCATTGTATATATTCTATGCCATATTCTGTCTAATTGTTATTCTATGATCAGCCCCTTCCCGCTGTGGAGGAGAAAGAATTGAAGGAGACACTGCAGGAATTAATTGGACAGGGAAAGAAGGTCATACTTGAGCAGAAGGTATGTATTGGTCTTCTCATCTGCCCTTCAATCCACCAATTGTTTTATAATGGATGGAAATTTGATTCTGTTTTACATGCCAGATTGATCCTAGTATTCTGGGTGGGCTTGTGGTAGAGTTTGATAAGAAGGTGTTTGACATGTCCATTAAGACTAGGGCACGCCAGATGGAGAGGTATTTGCGGGAACCCGCAAACTTGGACAGCCTCTAAAAGGTGTTAACAGACTGATACTGCGGTCACCCCCATTTTTCATGTATCTGTTATTGTCAAAGTTCTAAGAAGGAAAAAAAAAGTTGTTTAATTTTGGTGCTTGAACCCTTTCTAAAAAGATGGAAAGCAACTTGATCTGGATGCCATCTATTTGCAAATAAAAGCTTGTTTTCTGCATTGTTCTGGGCAAGAGACTGGCTAGTTTCATGTTCTTTATCTTCCTGTTTTGTCGCGTTTTCGCCTTTGAAGTCAAAAGCTTGTTAAGTTCTGTTATATTGCTGCACAAATATTTATATAGAGCGCTGTTCATTGGCTGTGTTTTCCAAACGTTCCTTAATTAGTATGTGGTGATTGGTGTCATCACACTCATTTCAATCGAGGATTATTGAAGTATGAGTAGTCCAAAACTAAGATTGGCATGAACTAAGTATGAGTTAATTTGTCTAATTGCTAACCAAAAACCCCACATCTTAACCTGTCACAATCATATCGGAATCCCCTTCGACAATGTGAACTGATCCTCTTAACAGTGGCGGAGCTTCAGCCTTCTTTTTGCCTCAAAATTTTCATGGGAGCTTTTGGCCGGAAGATTGGATTGATGAAATGTCTATTCACTTCAATATGGCTAAATCAAGTGCATAAGCAGAATTTGAAGCCATGAGTCATGGTATATGCGAGACATTACGTCTCAAGGTTTTGTTCAAAGAATTGGGATCCAATGAACGTAACGCTTAACTAAGATAACAGAGTTGCCATCAACATTTACTCACAGTCAAGGTTCAGACATGATTCGCTCGAAACAAAACATATTGAAGTAGACAGACATTTCATTGATATGGGCTAATGTACTTCGTTTGACAAAGAGTGTGTCAAGCAAGAGTTTTAATTTATTAAATTTGCCGTCAATTGCGTAATTATAAATATATAATTAAGTTTCGATTATGGCATTTGAGTAAATTATGTAGATGCCTTTTCTTTTCCAGAGTGTAATCCAATATTTTCTTGTGTAATTAGCTTTATGATTCATAATCCAAAAAAAAAAAAGGTTGCAATTCTAACATGTGATGTGCCTTTTTCCTTCTCTACTAGAATTTGGATGATTTTTTTTTTTTTTTTTTTTGGGACGAATTTGGATGAACTTTTTGTCTCATTGGTTTTTGGTGCTCATGCCTCCCTCCACTTTTCCCCCATAAAAGAAAGTATAATGATAGAAACTCCACAATCTATGCGCAAACAGAGGTATAAATGGTCAAACCAGATCGATCTCTCCACCTTTTTCTTTGGTCATGAGTTTTCTGAGCATTGCTTTTTCACCCCATGGTTTGTTGAGGCAGTGTGAGGAACTTTGGTCTTTTTCTGCACCTAGCCAGATTTTAAGACACAGATTCTTTTAATGATACATTCACTTTTGTAAGGTTTGTAGTACAAGGTGTGAGATTGAATGAATTCAGGTCATGGGTTGGTGTTTCTTGTCTTTGTAACCAAGCAGGCATGTTGCTTCGGACAGCCTCGAAAGCATGAGATATAGATTCTATCCTGGGACAGCTGTCGAAGGACACAGGGCTTTTTACGAACACTTGAGTAGCTTGAGAGTTTTGCACTCACTTTTCCCCCAGAAAAAAATGTGAGTGTCGTTTTTGGTTAACAAACATAAGTAACTGAATATTTCATTGGAATTATCTAGAATAATTGAATATGACTCCCTTGTAAACCTGATTTGCCATTTGGCTTTGAAAATGACTGGGAAGTCACAGCTCTTAGCATGCAGGGACAGGAAAATTAGGTGACACAACATACAGGATAGTGAAATTTCGGGTTTATCTAAACGCATGCATACTCCAAGTTAAAAAGAAATCGCAATTTTTTATTTTATTTTATTTTATTTATTTTATGATTAATGCATAACAATGGATTAGTGGAAGCCAATTTATATATGATTATGAGAAATCTTAAGTTTGGGTAAGTTTAGACAACACAATCATATAAAGAGTCGTCTTGGTGGATAGTCTAGATTAGTAATGGGGAAACATTGATTATATCGAGCCAGTATGAAAAGAGAACATATTCCATATGCACGGGAAATACTCTCTTCTCAAAATTAAGTTGCCAGATTGTGAATCTAATTAAATATAAGATTGGGGATAACTCAATTATGAAATGTTCTTAAGCAACATAAGATATACTTGCTAGAACTGCTTGACAAGCGAACATGTAAATAAAAGAAAATACTAGCGATTTAATTACTAGGATAAATTTCTTTCCAATTAGAGAACAATATGCCAAGTTATAAGCAAAGGCTGTGCAAATAATGTTGCACAGTTTCTGGAATGAGATTATAAGGTGCCTTTCTTTTATTTTGTTTCTGGTTATTCTTTTTACCTTTTGATCTTCTTCCCTTATAATAATAGAAATACTTGAAGCAATCAATTAACAACACTGATGGGATGTTCAGTCGAAATTCTTAACAGTGATGAAAAGGGAAATAAAGGAAGAGCAGTTATAACTTTTATCTGGTGAAACTATATCAAGTCTATATATCATGATGCCTATAATTGGTTGTTTCTTCTTTTAGTTAACAAATTAACAAGTCTTGCAAAAGCAGTCTTTATTTGTATTTTATTTGTATTTTATTTGGGTTCGTTTGAGTTGATTTGATCTAATGATTTCTTGTGATTGGCTTTTAAGCTCAGTACAGGGTTCTGTGCAGTGCAGGTAAGAAACTATTAATTCTCATTCACTTTGAGTCGGGCCATGGCAACGACCAAGGCATTTATTTTATTGCATGCCATGCCCATGCCAGTAGTGGGGAGTGGGAGGATATATGTTTAAGGAATATTGCTAGCTGCGCAATCTTAACTTCTAATATGAGATTGAGAATGCAATTTTGACCAAAGAGAACAACTGTAATTGATCCCAAAGTGAGAGGGTTTGCTTGAGAAGCATGCTTTTCATAATTGAGTTATCCCCAACAAGTTTCATGCAACCACTTAAACAATCCATAACACACAAAACAAACTAATTAAGTACAAACATGTGGCAAAAGTGCATGCCACACCTTGCCCAGAGTGTACAAAGAGTACTCTTTTTCTCTCTCTCTCTCTCTCTCTAGCCATATACTTCAAATTCACGTGTATGTTGATAGGGGGGAGGGTTTGGTCTTCTTGTCTTTGACTCTTTCTTGTCTTTTTCGATGCATTTTTCTTCACTCACAAGGTAATTATATATCATCTTTTGTATATGAGACAGCTACATTTTTGCTTCCACTTCACATAATAATCTCTCTCTCTCTCTCTCTCTCTCTCTCTCTCTCTCTCATATGGGAATTAATGGAGCCATGGAGGTCCCCCTCCAATCCGTTTCCCACTCCACCCATCGACCAACAAACACAATCTCTCTCTCTCTCTCTCTCTCTCTAACTTTTATATTCATTCATATTTTAAGCAAACCCCACAGCCATCACCATCATCATCACCATTACCACCCCATGAAGCCTTCTCATCATCTTATATAGCTTTCTTTTAGATCTCCATCCTTCAAATTAACCACTTAAATCAGAAACCCTCAGAAACTGGTCTAGCAATTATAATGCGAAAGCCAGAGTCTATGGGAAAAGAGGAGGGAGCAAACAATATTAACAAGAAGAAGAAGATGATACTGAGCAAGCTTAGGAAGGGGTTGTGGTCGCCTGAGGAAGATGAGAAGCTGATGAGGTACATGTTGACGAATGGACAAGGCTGTTGGAGTGACATTGCTAGAAATGCTGGTCTCCAAAGGTGTGGAAAGAGTTGCCGTCTTCGATGGATTAACTACTTGAGGCCTGACCTCAAGCGTGGTGCATTTTCACCCCAGGAGGAAGAACTTATCGTCCATTTCCATTCAATTCTTGGCAACAGGTACCCTCTCTCTCTCTCTCTCTCTCTCTCTCTCTCTCTCTCATAATTCTTTAACGCATAAACATATATAGCACCATTTTGAAATGACCCTAGAATATTATTGAGTCCTGTTGCTTTTCTTCCCCTTAGTATATTTTCTTTTCTATCCATTATCAGCCTAGTCATCATCATGATCAGGATCAATTTCTATGCTGTCATTTACAGAGATTATTCGAAGGAAATTTACATATGAACTATTTCCTAACATATACATGGCAATGTTAACTTAAAAGATAGTATGAGTGTATGGACGACTTGAAAAAAAATCAACTTAACCCACGATAGGTTTACAGTTTGGCAAGCTTTTCCCAATATATATATATATTTATGTAATTTTTTTTGGGTGAGATTAAACAATTCCCCATATACATAAATACATTTCAAATCTAAAATTATTTTATGCAATATATGATCCCCATATATGCAGATAGGTAGTTTGTCAGTAAGCTTTTCCACATGCATATGCGATATCCTCATTTGATGTGGGAAGTGAAGTTCAACAAAGTTGATGATGAAACTAACATTACCCCATTATATTGGATATAAATTAACTTACATGACATTGTAACAAACGTGTCACTGACATACACATATACATCCTAATTCACATCTACATGTTTCCCCCACTGTTTATTATAAAACAGTCGAAGCCTGAAGTGCAAACTGAAAAAAAAAAACTGCCATGGGGTTCAAACACCTGGGCTTGAGTGTTCGAATCCTCAATGCTTCTTTTTTTCAACCATGGGGGACCTAAATTTAAGGAAGTCTAGCATAAGTGTTGATAGTATATACATTGAAGAATGAAAGTCTAGCGTAAGAGTTTACAAGATCTTGGGCCTCTTCACCCATTGTCAATTGATTTTCGGTTGCATTCTAATATAATATCCAAAAAGCTCTTGATCTTAAATTAATGCATGTTGAAACCTTGACATCAAACTTGAATTAGTGTTTTTAGTTTGTAGCTTGTGGAGAGCTCAATTGACATTTACGCACTAGTATAATTTAAGCAACTAATTAAACATTGCCATGCATTTGTTTTGCCAACTAATTATACGTCTTAATGTTTTTTCTCATTATCAATTTAGGTGGTCACAGATTGCTGCACGTCTTCCAGGACGAACGGACAATGAAATAAAAAACTTTTGGAATTCTGCATTAAAGAAAAGGTTGAAAAAGAACAATATTTCCACGTCCTTATCATCACCAAACGATAGTGATTCATCAGAGCCTAGAGACGTCAACATTACTGGAGGGACGACGATTATGCCCATGCATGACCATGACATGATGACCATGACCATGTACAACATGGATTCATCTTCCTCATCATCTGCATCCATGCAAGCTATGTTCGTCAACAGCAACACATTATTCGATCCCTTCTCCATGC